AGCCTCTTATTAAATTGTCTTCCCACTAAGGATAACTTCATACAATATGGAGTTGATTTAGCATTCAACCCAACATGCGTCCTATGTGCTAATTATATGGAAGATGCAAACCATGTCTTTGCTAAGTGCAAATTTTCTCAAAGTCTTTGGAGCCATATATGCTACTGGTGGGGACTCACATTTATCCATACTGATAACATCTCCCATTTACTTCTTTGGCATTGCTCGCTTTCAATCCCAAGGTAAGCATGGCACTATTTGGCTCTTACCATCTTTGCAACAGCTTGGGTCATTTGGTACTTCAGAAATGGTATTGTTTTCAACAAACTTTCTTGGGATGAGAATAATCTTATAGACTTAGTGTAGGTTAAAACTTTTGCTTAGATTAAAGTAAGCTCAAAATCTACTAGTTCTTGCTTTAGTTTTTTTTTTTTTTTTTATCATCAAATTGAAATATTTTATTAATAGGAGTACAAGGGGTACTCCAAGTCGTTTACAAAATAAAAGGCTAGGTTATCACAAAATAAACCCAACACCAATACCAATAATTATTACTAAGACATACCAGCAAGAACCAACCAAGCCCCACTACCGATCATGTTTGCCCCTATTTCTACTTCAAATACATCTTCAATTCCTTTTTATGCCTTCTCACCACCAATGCACAAGCAACCGAATCAACCATCCATTTATAAAAAGAAAACATAAAACCAATAGCCTTAGTTTTAATCTAAGAGAAAGACCTTATTTTAACCATATCCAACAATTTCTCCTTAAAGCCCCCGTTATTGTGAAACACCAAAGCATTTCTCCAATACCACAAATACCAAGAAACAATTAGAAACATACAAGAACCCATCTCCTTCCCAACTATCCTACCAAAGCTAGACAAGAAAAATTATGCTATACCTCCCACTGAATTAGGCAACATAGAATCCACCCCCCACCAATGTATCACCTTTGCCCAAATTGGCCACACTTCCTTACATGTACAAAACAAATGATTTACTTCCTCAACCACCTCATTGCATAAGCTACACATTAAACTCCCCTCTTGCAGAACAACCCCTCTGTTGTATAGGTTCCCTTTTGTCAAAAGCCTATCAAGACATAAGCGCCAACCAAAAAAAGATACCTTAGACGACACTAAATTGCACCAAACCAATCTACAAAACTAGTCTTGCAAAACACACTTCAAAGGAGCTAAAAACACACAAGCTTTCTTCACTACGTAATTACCATCAGAAGCATGCACCCACCTCCAACAATCATTCCCCCCAACCTTTATTCGAACATTTCCCAACAATTCTCTTAACAACACCTTATCATCCCTTTCTCTACCTAGTCTCTCCCTTCTTCATATTCCAACACCACCTACCCCCTTCCCAACTCCCCAGCTCACTAACCATACCCTCTTGATTCGCACTCAATGCATATAATCTAGGACATAAATCATGTAAAGATTTATCTCCTACCCAAATATCTCCCCAAAAACCCACCCTTGGTCCATTACTCACTTCCCATCTAAACCTTCTCACCAACCTTTCCTAATCTCTCAAAAATCCCTCCTTTACAAATAACGTCCCCCCAAATCTTAGACAACTGCCAACAGTCCACTATAGTTATATCAACCACCTCTTTACCCCTATAATATTTATCCCTCACCACCTGTTTCCATAAATGCTCCACACCATCACCTAATCTAAACCACCACTTTCCTAATAATGCCCAATTTCTCCTCCGTAAATCCAGCACCCCTAAACCTCCTTTCGCCTTACTACAACAAATATCATCCCACTTAACCCAAGAAATCTTCCTTTTTAACTCAAGCCTACCCCATAAAAAATTCCTTTGAATAGAAACCAACTCAAAAATCATTGTTTTTGGCATTAAAAATAAAGACATGTAAAAAGTAGGTAAAGCAAAAAGACCGAATTGAGTAGAGTTAGGCGGCCTCTAAAGGAAAGGATAGCAGACTTCCAGACGACAAGTTTGGCATGAAATTTTTTCACAACCAACTCCCACAGCTTTTTATTCCTTGGTTTCCCACCAACAGGCAACCCCAAATAAATAAATGGAAATTCCCCCACTCCACAACAAAAAGCATGAGCTACCCCTTTTAACCACCTCTCCGACACATTTAACACATAAACACTGATTTTGCTAAAATTTATCCGCAACCCAGACATCAACTGGAACCAACGCAAAATAGTTTTAACCATAAAAACATTTTAACTATCTACCTTCCCTAATATAACTATGTCATAAGCAAATTGGAGCAAAGAAATAACCAACACTCCTTTTCCAACCTCAATACCATGCAACAACCCTTCCATCTCTACTTTCTTAACTAAACCACACAATCCTTCTCCAACCATCAAAAAAAGAAAAGGGGATAAAAGATCTCCTTGCTGTAGTCTTTTCCCTACCTCAAATTCCTCCTTTGGGCTTTCATTAACAAGAACTGAGACCCTTGCTGTGGCAAGACACTCCTTAATCCACCCTTTCCACTTAATCCCAAAGCCAAACCTATCCATCATCCAATCCAAAAATGACCAATCGACACAATCATTTGCCTTTTCAAAATTTTCCTTGAAAATAAAAGCATGTTGCTTCCTCTTTTTAGCTTCACCCACTACTTCATTCAAAATTTAAAAACTATCAACCAATTGACGCCCCCCACCACAAAAGCAAATTGAGTTTCACTAATAAGCTCGAACATCACATACTTCAACTTGTTAGCTAACACCTTTGCCAACAATTTATACACAGATAATCCTTCAACTTTATCAAATTAAGCTTCTTAGGAATTAATGTTAAAAAAGAGGAATTTAACCCTCTTACTAACCTGCCATGCTAATAGAACTCCTCAAAAAAGCTGATGAATCCTCCTTCATACTACTTTAGACCAATTTGATAAAGTTGACATTGAACCCGTCCAGCCCTAGTGCTTTATTCCCTTCATAGCTCTTCAACCCTTCTTTAATCTCCTCTACTGAGAATGGCCTTTCTAATCACTCTTGTTGGTCTTTAGAAATTTGTCTAAAAATAACACCATCTGGCTTAGGTCTACTCCATCATTCTCCTTGAAACATTTCCTTAAAATATTTTACCACTTGTTTCCTCACCAACTCTAGTTCCTTTACCCACCTACCATTTGCAATTTTATGAAAATAACTTGTATTAGCATCACCCAATTTCACCCAAGTACTCCTAACCTTTTGCCTCCAAATGGCTTCCTTTTTCCTTATAATTTCCCATAACTCCTAGAAACCTTCTTGTCATTGAGCCACCTAAAATCCCTTTAATACAAACTCTTCATTCTTCAAATCAACATCCTCAACCTTCTTCACAACTTTTGCAAACTACGTTTCCATATCCCCAGACACCTCTTTATTTCAGCCTTTTAAAAACTCTTTAAGAAATTTTAGCTTCTATTTACATTTAAAATCTGCAAAACCCTCCACCTTCAAGCTTGCCCATTTTTCCTTAATTGCCTTCTTAAAATCTGGATGCTGCTACCAAACATCCAAAACTCGGAATGGCTTGGGACCCGAGTCTACCATCCGAGATTTCAAGATAATAGGACAATGATCTAATATAGTTCATTTCAACCCTTGTTGTACCCACTCCCCACTCATGTTACACATCTCTGTAGACATCAAAAATCTATCCAATCTACTCATGGATGTCCCATCTAGTCTATACCATGTAAAACGCCGATTCACCAATCGAACATCAACTAAACCTACTGTCTGGATAAAGTCATTGAATTCTTCCATCTGGACTTTCTCCCTTGTCTTTCCCCTTTTTTCTTCAAGACTCTTGACAACATTAAAATCACCCATAACCAGCCAACAACCCCTCTCTTCCACAATCATCTAATTTAGTTTATCCCATAACTATAGTTTTTGCTATCTATCTTGAGGAGCATACACATTTACTAAATGGCACTTCACTTTCGTCAATCCCCATTCTCCTATTACACCCAAAAATCCATCACCTTGAAATTCTCCCAATTTTACAAACTGCAACTTATTCCAAACACATAGCAAACCTTCAGATGCTCCACGCGAATCCTTCATCACCCAATCAAACTCATCCGAACTCCACAACAATCGACATAAACCACTATCTATCCCTTCTAACTTAGTCTCCTACAAAAACATAAAATCCAGCTTGTGTTCCTTTACCAATCTACCCCCCTCTTTCTTCTTCAATAATCCCCCTAAACCTCTCACATTAAAGGACAAGAATTTCATTAAAAAAAAAAAGAAAAAAAAACTTGCAACCCAAATCACTCCCATTTACTCGTAAACCCCTTTCAAATGACCCCCTGCACCTCCTTTCGTCCCTTAATTGCCAACAGCCTTGATTCAACCTCTTCCTCGTTATCCTAGAAGTTAATCCTTAACCTCATCCCCACACTAATCATCCTCCTAACTTGTAATAAACTCAAATCACTTTTAATTACCTGATTGCGATGCTCAATAAACCCATTTGAAAGTGAGAGACTAGCGATCCATTTTGATTTTTCCTCTACAGTTTGCTAGACCTTTTTCCTACGTACTTGGCATTGCTTTGTTTGCCCTGTTACCCACAATGTCTTCTCTGTCGAGGTTTTCACCAAGCTCTGTGGGTAGCACTCTTCTAAATTCCTCCACCTCTTGTTCTACGCTCCCTTGATACCCATTTCCCGATCAGAATGATTCTCCTCTACATTAATACCATTTGCCTCATTCCCTTTTTGACAACTAGCCCAATCATGTGTGCCATTGTTTTCCAACCCATCATCAACCCCAAGCCCATCAAACTTATTAGGCCCAACTACACCTAAATTATTAAGCCCAACATCCCTTCCCATTACAACATCCCTCTGGCAATCCATCTCATAATTGCCATCAACATCTGTAACTTATGGATTCAAATTTTGTGCATCCGTTGACAACGCCTCATTAATACTGTTGACTTCCTCACTAGTAATCTCGATATTAATTAATTCTAGATCCTTATCTTGATTCTATGATGAGGAATATTCCAATTCAATGTCCAGCAGACTGCTTTGATCATTGTTCGACAACCACTATTCTGGATCTAATCCCCATTCTTCCTCTATCACTGTAATCTCGTATAGCTTCTCTTCCACTTTCAGCAACACAGTCTTAGATATCTTACTTACTTGAGAACAAAGAATCATAACTCTTCCATCACACAAGATTGATTTCTTCTTCGTATCCTCATGAATTACTAACACATCCCCTATTGAACTTGCAATTTTCTCAAAACAACCATCGCACCAAGCATTCAATGGAACTCTAGATATCCTTAACCATGCCAATCTACCATTTTGTTGAGGTGCCACTTCCCATGGAAGGATGGATTCAAACCATGTATCAAACAACTCCTTGTTTTGCTTTATATACTCATCCAAATAACTTGTAGTCCTTTCTAGTAACAGCACCCTTCTACCTCCTAATGGTGATAAAGTTATCAACCGTCCATCCACATCCATTCTCGCTTGAATTCTTGTAACCAATTCTAACGATCTTACCATAGCAACCTTACTCCCCTCAAGCCACTGACACTCTTCCTTCTTCAGAGAAAACTCAACAATTTCCTCCCCATGTTGATCCTTTTCCATAAATTCTTGTTTAGCACAAGAACCCACCTCTTCATTAACTACTTGATTCAACCCAAGTTGTTGTATCTTCTTCTCATGATCATTAGCTTCACCTTGTTGTTTGCCTACTGAAAACCCTTTTAACTCTGGATAATTCCTTGCAACAACTTGTGCATACGACGTATCTGGTTGAACAAATCTATGCATTCTGTTATCCATGTTCTTCCCCACATCTATACCTAATTTTTTCTGATATCCAAAAAACTACTGCACTCTATCTTCAACAATCCTTACTCTCAACTTATATAAACTGATCCAAATCTAATTCAGATGCTTTTCCACTTGAAACACATCTTACACTCCCATCATATGGACAAAGCCAAATCTCTTCCCCCATTTATCCCTCTTCCCTAGCACATAGACATCAACTACTCTCCCATACCTCTAGAAACACTGCCATAAATTTGCTACCTAAGACTTCTCAAGAAAATTATAGAAAAAGAATGTCTTTGTCTGTCCAACAAAAGATACTCAGATCCTACAAATCGTCGCTGGTATCCTTGCCATTGTTGGTGCACTTATCTTCATCTGGAAGAGCCGTCTTCCCTAGTAGCCACGCAACTCCCTTGGACCCTAGTACTCTCCATCTCCTAAAGTGATTTTAGTTCTTGCTTTAGTGACTGGTATTAATTCCCAATCCATTGTGCAGTCCAGTCCTAACTCCTTCCCTTCCTTCTACTTTGTATTTTCTAAATGTAATGGTGACTACCCCTTGTACTCATTCTTTTAATAAAATTTTGATTTATTAAATTTATATATATTACCCTACATTTTTTTTTGTTTGGTAATGAGATGCAAGAAAATTGTTTTTTATTGTGTAATTCAAAATCTTTATTTCTCTAATTTTATTCTCCATTACAACTCATATTGTGAAAGACAACTGTGTGTTTAATTTCTTTAATTATGATTTGTCTTAGAGAAAAAGGAAAATTTTTAAAAATGAAAACTAATTAAAGACTTAATTGACATTCCTTATTTAGTACTCCCTCCATTCAACATAGAAAATAAATGTTAATTAATTTTTTTTTCTTATATGTAGTTATTGTTTAGTGGTTTTATTTTATTAAAAAAAATTCAATTAGCATTCATGTTCTATGTTAAATTTTTTACTTAAACCTTTTGTTTTAAAAGTTAGACAATCAAATTATGACTATCCTTATTGAACAGAAGGTGTATATTTTTTTAGTACATCAAAACTTAGATGCTCGGTGTTGAGAAGGTTTAAACTCCTAACTCTAACCACAAATCAAGGTTTTTCAGTAAATAGATACCAATTTGACCAAACACTGTTGGTCTCATTTATTTAGTTTGTATGGCAAAAAAAGTTGCTACTGCATACCTTTTTCATTTTTCTTATATAGTCCATCGAATCCAAAATGTGTTGTTTTTTTTTTTAAGAGTTAGCTTATGATATCAACCAAAGTACTCCTTACATGGTAGGCTCTCATCAACCTCGAGGTCTTAGAGGCCAAACATCCTAACTACAAAGGTACTCCAAGTTATATTAGTGTAGTTTTTTTTTTTTTTTTTTTTTGTATTAACTCCCTAATATTCAAAAAACACATTGAATTTTAATTAATTTAAAGTCAAATCACGTTAAACTCTATAAGGTAAAATCTCTCTCAATACATTTCTTTTATTTATAAAACTCAAATTCAATATTTTATTTAAAGATAATTGAACTTCTTTTACTTAAATCAACAAATAATTAGTAGTGTAGTTTTCTTACAAGAACCTCTAGTTGAGTTGGCCCCCCAAGTTCTTAGAATTCTAATTGGAAAGCTCTATAAAGCTATCGACCTAACCTAGAAACAGCTAAGACCTCCAACTTGATGCCTCTGACCAAGTACTTCTAACCTAGGAGCTCCGACTTGATGATCAAAACAAAGGACGTGGGAATGTGTTAGATGTATGCGGGCTCCTCCTACTTCTTCACCTCACAATGCCAAAGAACATAGGAGACATTCTTTGTTCACAGAACCATGTGATACCTCGTCCTTGGTTGTCATAACTAGTATTGTCTACTGCGGTGGCAGGTTAGAGGTCAAAACATGGACACGTGACAACTTTTGATATTATCAAGACCACATCATTGCTGACTATGAAAGGGGTCTTCTCCTCCTCTCAAGAGGTGACTATGAAAGGGGTCTTCACCCCCACTCAAGGGGTAACTAAATTCCTCTAAGAGAATTCTCCTCTCTAACTTCCCATTCCTCCAAAATCCTACCTGACTTGACCGCTGGAGTGCGTACGTCGAGCCACCTTTGGCACACACACTAATAAGCTTTCCTTTTGCATGAATGTAGACTTTCAAGGCCAACAACTCCTCTCGACAGTTTTCCAACTTTTTCCCATGGAGATATCAGCACGCTTTTCCTTGAACCGTTTGGAATTCCATATTTGCCCTCAGGTTATCAGGTTACAAGCCTGGTAAAATAGTAAAACAATCTTTAAGGCTGTCCTTTTTCTTTTTGGCCAATGTTATTCAACAAGACTGCCTAAGAAAAATTAGAAACTATCGTTGTCTCTTGTTGGTGCTCAACACTTTCGGGACTAATTTATTCACCTTACCTAGAACTAGGGGAAAGAAAATTTCTCGACAGAAACTGGAAGTATTAATTATTTCCTCTCTCGACCTTTCATTTTCAGCCCAACACCCCACTAGAGATCTTCCATATCCCACAAACATTGACAACTTCTCCAGTGAAAAAAAAAAATGGCATTCTCATGGTGGGTACGTGATTTCAAACGTCACCTTCGGGAGTTTTCTTATTTCCACCTCAATTCCCTTTTTTTTTTTTTTAATATTGAAGATTTTTTACTGTGGTCCTCTAGGATGAAAATTGCAACTCTGGAGGGCGCTCTTACCTAAAAGATAGACTGGATTCATTGATAAATGACTCCTGGTGTCATCTTGCTCTATTCTCTCTATGATTTCATTTTCAATCGTTTTAACTCCACCTTGGACTAAAGGGGTTGTGAAAACCATCTTTTTGGTGCGTTAATTATCATGACATCCTCCACTAATGCCTAGTCCTTATATGTTTAGACTTTTTATTGAAATTTTGGCCATTATATCTCTAAAAGAGAAATATTAAGTTCCTTTTGTTTGGATGGAGGCATGAAGCACGCGGGGTTAAAACATACAGATCAAGATAATTTCGGAGGCAAAAGTCAAGGGTCAGATCTGTGCTTAAGCAATTGTCGACTTTGAGGCCGGGGGCCAGCTTCCCAACATTAAAAAAAAATTACTTCGTCCTGTCTATTTTAGTTATCTTTGTTTAAGTTTTTATATAAAATTTAATTTTATAATTTTATATAGTAAATGGATAAATAATTAATTTTTTTTATATAAATAGTATTTATTGATTATTTTTATTTAAATTAAAAAAATTCAATTATCATTTATTTTTTTATATAAATTTATGAAATTAATTAATATAAAATTAAAAGAATTAAAAGGGATGGGAGGAAGTAAATTTCTTTAAATACATTAAGTTAATTATATCGTGGGATGAACTCCTAAATTTGTTACAAATAAATAAATTTTAAAACATACACAAATAAATAAATTTTAAAACATACACAAATTCATCTGGGAGCATCTTAATAAAAAATTAAAAGGAGACCCGAATGGTAATTAGCCAAAAAGCATCTAAATAAAAAATAATTTAAAAGTGCTAAAAATATGTAGGTTTAAACACAACATGAACATTTAAAATAATTAAAATTAATTAGTAATAGTAGAATAACTCATAATATATTTAAATACATTAGTTCTCTTTGTTTTTTAGTTTTTTCATGTGAGATTTTCTATATGCTATGCTTTCTCATGTACAAGCTCATTGAACTTGTCATGAGGACTGTCACCCAAGTTTTCCATTTGATAAGATTTTTTTTCTCAGTGAAAGTCTCCCAACTGCAGAGTTTTTATAGAATTTAATGCATTATTATCGCTATAATTGTACCAAACTTTATTCAAATCGTAAGATGTTGTATAAACCTGACAAAAAATATATATATAGGTTAAAATTTCTCCATCATCACTTAAATGCAAAAAATTTAAATTAACTACGTCTACTATCTTGAAAGTGATACCCTTAAGTCATGTTTATATGGTATAAATAGGCATTTTTTATGAAAATAAAATCTATAAATAT